AAAGTGATTTCTTAACTTTTTTTCATTATACCTCAAAAACTACTCAATATATTAAAAAATCTTTTACACAGAAGTTTTACGACAAATCATAGATATTTATTTATTTACGTCAATAACATTTTTAAAAAATAATTTTTTTTTAATTTTTGAAAATTTTTATAAATAAATTTTTTTAATGATGCCGTGAATAAAAAGATGTAATTTTACTGTAAAACTTTTGTATAAAACATTTAATAATATCTTGAATAGTTTTCGAGATATAACGAAAAAAAATTAATTTACATATAAGGGGTGGTTCTATCCCTTAAAACCGGTTTTGGGCCCCAACTGCTATTTCTAAATTCATCTATTTAGGTAACCTACATGTATAAAAAGTTTTGTTAAGATCAGAATTTAACACTTCGCGAGGTTAGATTCCCTTTAGTCTTCTTCAGCCGCATTAAGTAAAAAAATTAATAATGATAAACATGAGTCACATAATCGGTATAATACAATAACTTAATAAATTAATACGAGAAACGGAAGTCACATAGTATATACGGTAAAGTAATTAAATATATACCATATGACTTCCGTTTCTCTTATTAATTTATTAAGTTATTGTTTTATACCGACTATGTGACTCACGTTTATCATTATTAATTTTTTTATTTAATGCGGCTGAAGAAGACTAAAGTCGAAACATGCCGCGTCTGTCCATCTAAAAATTTTATTTTTTGTACTATAAAATTAATAAACTCTATCACCTTCGTTAATTACTCGTTAATTTGGCCTATTTCCATTAAGTTTTAAATATTATTTATTTTAATCAAGAGCTTTTTATATTAAATAAAAGTATAAAAATTTTAAAATTTTTTCAAAAAAACATTTATAACTTAGAATATTTAATTACTAGCAATAATAGCAATTAAATTACGAAATCGATAGAACGCATACATTAACACGCCAAATAATGCAAATAAAAAATTCTTATTTTACAATTTTTACAAATTTAGTAGCTTTTATCATTAAAAGAAAAAATTAATTTAAAATTCTACATTTACAATTATCGCAAATTTGCAATAATTCAGCATTTGTTCCCTTCTATAACGAAATAAAATCTTTATTATTTTTAACAGATCACTTTTCTTCGCAGGTTGATTTCATGGAACACGACAAAAGTATAACGCATGGAGTTCGCTCTCCATCTTGAGTTCTCTTTTTTGTGTCGGATCCTAATCGGCGGAGAGGCCTTGACCTGGTCAAATCGATGGGTAAGTTGGCCTTCATTGAACATGGCACTAACATCGTTTTTATTTGTGACTTTTTAAGGCTCATATCTACCTATCGTCGAGATTAAAGTGAGCATTAGATCGCTTCGCGATTGCTCGACTCGTTCCATAATATTATTGAAATTCTGCACAAATGCAACACACAATCGCGTAAATATCATAAAAAAGATTTGCGATTAAAATTTATCGCCGATTATCGTGAAATTAGTATCCGCAAAACAATATTCTATTTCACTCTCAATTTGTATTTGTACAATATTGCACATACTCCGTTAATTCGTGTTAAATATCCGCTAAAAGAATTTTCACATTACCTATATTCCGCGATAAATAACTGTGACAGAAACAATGCAAACACGGCGTTATTGTTTCTTGAACGCGATTGATGTCTTATCGAGATGTGTCTTTCGCATCAAAATAAACGTTAATAAATACATTTGTGTGGCCAAGAAATAATACCAATCTCTGTCTCTCTTTCTCCTCATCATCAATTATTTTTCATTCAGTTTAATACTCCGTTAAAAGATTCTTGTTCTAGACCCAGAATTAATCTAGATTTTATTAAATCTAGATTTTATTAAATTAAATGTGACTATTCATTTTATTATTAAATAATTGCATTATATTATTAAATATACTTGTTTTTATAACTACTAACAGTTATTCTATCGACATATTTTATAAAATATATATCTTAACATTCAAATGGTACACTTCTTTCGAGCACCAACTAGTGAAACACTGGTGCCGCGACTAACCGGCGATTAAGCCGGCGAATAGCCGCGACAGATATCTCTGTGCAAATGTCAGCAATTCGAAAATTTTCGCGGTGCGAATTCTCTTGTACCATTTGAAGGTTAATAATAGGAGAAAATATTTAAATATTAAAATTATATAGGCAAAAATTGTACGAATTTGCATTGTACAAAAATTTGAAAAAAGATGACTGCCGTTAATTCATTACTAAAATAATCGCTGTCGAGAAGAGTTTGGAATATCCAGAATTCGTTCCTTCTTGCAATGAGAACTCTTAACAATCAACGAGTTGCTTAACTTTCTTTCCCGTATTGATCTCATGGTCCCGAAATAGGGTACATTAAGCTCCTCACCATTTGAGATTTGTCCTTTCTGTGTCAAATACTAACTTACGTGTCACCCAGTAAAGACACCCTAATCTTATTAAACCGTTAAGCCAGTTATCCTTCACTAAACGCAACGAAAACACGTATCACGATTTTTAAGATGTATATAAAGCTAATTTCGCCGTTAAAATTAAAGCATTAAATTTTGTATGTGCAATTGATTGTTTAATATAATTTCGAAATTATACATACAGATGAAAATACAAGGAGCACTGAATATCCATATCGAATCATATTGGTTATTATATAGAGCATTAATAATTCTGAGAGGCTCGCGTCGCATCACAAATTGTTACGTGTATTGCAACATGACTATATTATCAATTGGTTTATTCATTGCGTTCGATAGTGCGAAGTTTAGACCGTTGTTTATCTAATTTGATCATTGGATTGGACCGAAGCTTCATCTATCTTTCGTGTATCTTAAATTTCTTTCGAAATCTCGTAAAATACGCCAATAATTCAAGTTTGGTTTTTTACAATTAAATTTATTTACGATCTTTTTTCGACATGGTTGCTCGCGTAATGTGAAGTATAATATAGGTTTTGCAAATAGATTTTTAAATATCTAATAAATATCGCGTAATGATCAATATACAATCACATATCTATATAAAAAGTTGTATTATTAAAAGTTGTATTCACGATAATTTTGTAATAAGTCCGTGCTTGTAAAGATATAAGCAATTTAATTATACATTTTATAATTTCGAGTGCCTTCCATTTAACGATACAAGACGACACAAGTGTCATTCTGTCGTTTTTCAAAATCCAGAGTGTCGACTTGTACCGCTAAATTGAAGGCCATTCATCACCATTCATTGTGTTACAATGAAAAAAGTAATCTTGCAATTATAGCGAGAATTATTTTTACGAAAAATTAGCTAAAACGGATAAGTGATTAGTAAGCACTGCACCACATATGTTTTGTATTTAATCAATATAGATAATAGAAACAGACATTATATCTGAACTATTTGTCAAATTTAGCAAGAAAGTTCCTCTTTGACGTTTAATCAGTTCGGACTCCAATCCAGACTCCAATCATATTTGGTTATGAAATCTATATTTTCTTGTATATATTCTTAGAATATTGCTGCTATAAATTCTATGTATGACAAACAATTTTTTAGCAGATACAAAAAACAGAGATGTAATTTAAGTGTAATATTTAGAATTCTAGCTGAAACAGCGAAACATTTCCCTGAGTGATATAAAAAAAATGTACGGCACACGAAGATCTTATACAAGATTTATGCTCTTGCGATCCGTAAATTTTCCCTCGCCTTCATTACAGTTTATATATAATGGGGGACAGATGATGCCGTTTGTGAAATCTGCTTAAAAGCTTATTCGCGGGCGGCTGATCAAAGCGCGGTATCAAAAGATTAACCCACGTTCACACGTTATGAGGCGATTAAAAGATCGCGGGCGATTTGGAAACCTCATTAAACGCGTCGAATCTCACGCCGTTCGGTAGGATCCGTCACCGCGCGTATTTCATTAAGAAGATAAATGACGTGTATTCATATCCAACACCACGTGCGTTCCTCCGCATTAGCATCGCGCGATAATACGCCCGTTTATCGCGCGACCGCCGTTATTAACATCCTTCGTTTTTTCTTGCGCAAATAAGGAAAAGAACAGACACACGAGAAACTTAAATATAGAATCGTACAGAGTCGAAGATTCAATTCTTTTCATTTTTTTAAGATAATTTTCGTTATATATAATTTGCTATAATTTTATTTCGATAAAAGATTTCATTCGTCACACGCTGCTCATTGAACGATAAACAATACTCTCTCACACAGTTTTCTTCTCGTAATTTTCTTCTCGTAAATAAATCAAGAGGCCTATTCGAGAAAAATATTTCTAGTTGTATACAAGATACGTTTCTATGTCTGTATTTAAATGAAGTTATATCTGTTACGCACACAGAAATAAATCATACATCAACTTTTCTATTTGTTTCATATGACAACTTTTCAACCTTGATTTTTAAGGTAAAACTAATTCTTCTATTAATTTTCTAAATTTTCAGTAATACATTTTGATATATCTTCTCATTCATCATTTATAATTAGTCGGTTTGAAGTCTGTTGGAGAGATGGAAGAGAGAAAAGAGAGAGGGGGAAGAGGGAGAAAGAAAGAAAACATCTGTGCAAATATCATGTCAGCGAGGATCGCCGTAACTTATTTGCATGATGCTTCACATGAGTATAGCGTGTCCAGTTATTAAATTTCTATAATACAGCTGAATGTTGTGTGTTAGATGTAGGACAAGAACACTCGAAGATAATAAGCTATTTTCCATTATATTAAGAAGTAATAACGTTATTTTTCACAAACAGATAAATAATTTGCTTCTGGTAACTAAGAAAAATTAATAGATTGTTTTCTATTTTTCCCAATAAGAGATGATTCATTTCATTACATATAAGTGGTCCAATGCCTTAATAGAAATGATAAAATATAACGTCATCTTTTTAGACACTCGACGCAAGATCGTTTGGCACACACACAAATTGCTTAACAAAATATCCATCAAGTAAAGTATACCAGATGTTGCATGTTTTATAAACGAGATGCGATTTTGCAAATTTGCATTAAATTCTGAGGATAGAAATTTAAGAACACGTCGCGTACCTCTTTTATCTAAAAAGAGACATTCTAATTTTTTTTTTGCGACATAATGGAAAACGGTATACGCTTTTAAAAGAGTTTTACAAAAATTAATAGCAGTATTTACTCAATAAAATAATTTCGTTATATTTATGGAGACATAATATCTGACAAGTCAATAAATCTAAGAAGCATATATGTTTTTCCAATTAGATATTAAATCATATATTAATTTGTTTCAATACAGCATTTTTAATTATTCTTTCCCTACTATTTATATTTTTAATCAATATTATTTAACGTAATAAATATCAATTTATGTGTATATTATTTTTGTATATACCTCGGTGTTTTCTTTCGAAAAGAAAATCGATATTTCAAAAACTGTTCCCATCAACAATCACTCAAAAATTCCAACCTGGAATTAAGACTAAATACAGAAATTTTTAATTTGTTATTTTCTTAGATTCTCTTTATTAAGAAAAAACCCTTTTCTTTTAATTAGACAACACTTAAAATTCTCGCATGTTCGGTTTTAAAATAATGGTTTCAACAAAGCTAATTGCGCTGCGCTAATAATGCTTCTCTTAATTTTTCATCTGTTCTGAGCACGGTACGCAGAGGTTTAAATTCTCATCGTCGATCGTGAAATACGAATCGATTTGCAACATCCTTCAAACGATCTGGCGTTGGAGTTAGAGAGAGAAGAGGGGCTGTCTCTTATACACAT